AAAATCTGCATTCAGGGGCTCCTACTCGTCGAGTGCACGAACCTACTCAACGAGTAGGAAGAATTAACTCATGGACTCGTCGAGTCCCCCATGGACTCGGCGAGTTCATGCTGCAGAATACAGAAAACTGAGTTTTTTCAACAAGTTTGCATCAAGTATCAAATAAACAAGCCTAGGCTCTGATACCACTGAAGGGTTTTGAGCATTCTAACACTCCTATGGTGTACATGCAACCCTAGAAACCTTGGATCTATGTTTTACTATGATACATGCAAATTTGATTTCCAAGGTTCATAACCTATCTAGCATAGCATGGGGAACTTTTAAACATAAATGCTAGTTGTAGAACATACCTTATGTTGTTTGGATTCCTTGAAAACCTTGTGAGCCTAGCACCTCAAGTGTGATGCCTCAAATGTCTCACACAACACCACAATACTTGGAATAACCTTGAGAGAAGTTCACTAACACCTCAAAATCGGCTAGCCCTCTTTCTTGCTTGTACAAGTGCCAATTTTGCTAGACAATGGGTCTTTATATAGTTGTGACACAAGTAGGGTTATACCATGTAAACCCTAATTGTCATGGCTTTCCATATTCCATGATCCATGGGTTTGTAAACTCTATGGACTATCCATGGAGCACCTTATGGATTTTAGCCCAATCCATACAAACCATGGATCATTAGCCCACTATACAAGAATAGATGATTTACACAATCAACCCCATATATTTAATTAGTCTCTTTTTGACCACTTAATTAATTCTTTGATCAATACTAATTAAATAATATTATTAATATATTAGAAGTTTTAATATATTAATAAAACCTTAAGTGTCCTTTCTCTCATTTTGGTCTATCCAACTATTGCAATGTCATGCAACCCAAATGGACCATGCCAACCGGGTCAAGCATATACCAGAAATAGTTATGGACTTAGACACCTTATCCAACACTTTTTACCATTTTAGATTAGTAATTCAAGAGTATCAAGATATAATATACACAAGTACTTTTTCCATCTTACCTTTTTTTAAACCACTCACTAAATTGTTGGCAATGAATCTTATCAAGTTCATACCCGGGTATTTGACGACACCAATTTTGTCCCTTGATTAGCCTTTTGTGTTCCTTTCATACAAATGCATGTTTTTTGTAAGATAGAGACCAAACATGAAGTATGTAAAATTCGTAAAGGAAGAGAGTCTACCTTACTCTCAAAAATGTGTAATTGATTCGACATTGAATAACACATAACAATGTGCTTAAGCAAGTGACATCTCGTCCATGACACTACTTAAGGTTGTCCTCCTTCTCTGAAATGAAGATCCCGAATAGATTCTACACCCCAATGGACAACCGGGACAAAGATTGTTAGATTCTTCAATCTCATTTTGGTGGCCCTCATCATCATTTCTAATAACTCTAGTGAAAACTGTTTCTACTCCAGTGAGATATCTAAAGCAAAATGTTAGACTTTCTTGAGCTAAGAAACCTTCAACACTGAGCCTTCAGTATGAGCTCTATTGTTGACATATGACTTAGGTATTGAAAGGTGTTTGTGTGTTCATAGATAATTGATCATCTAAAATTAGTAATGAAACTATAGGTAAAATGAAATACTAAAGAAACAATTTTTTTTTACCTTTCAATAGGATACATCCATCGAAAAGCAAATAGGACCTCCAAGTTTATGTTGGATTAAGTGTCTAATGTCCTAACTAAATTGGTATAATGTTGATGATTAAAAGTAAAGTCCTTTTTAAGTTGCCCTCATAACCAGGAAATGGCTTGGATTGATCAAAGGAGAGAGATAAAATGATTTGTTAATATATTATGTGATTAAGATATTAATTAGAATTTGTTAATTAATGATTTGTTAATTTATTATATGAATAATAAATTAATTAGAAATAGATGGAATTAGTTAATTATTAATCATAATTAATCTAGAATTAATTGGAATTAATTAAAGGTGCAATGGGTGAATTGTAATTGTTCAATAGTTGAACAAAAGAAGCAATTTTAGAACCTACCATCATATGGACGGTTTTAGGAGCTCTTTTAGGGTTTCCAGAAGCCTCCTGGTAGTAGATAAGAAAATATTTGGATTGAGATTAAATATATTATTTAATCATTCAAATCATGCTTTGTCCCTAAGTTACCTAAATTATAAACAAGACCCTTAGGCATCAAGATTTCGTGGCTCTCATATACCTTTCATGGGAAAACGAAATTCTCCTATTCTTTCCACACTTTCCTTCAATCCTAAGGTTTCTTGCATTTTGGGTGTGAACCATTATAGGCTTGCACACTATTGGAGCTAGGTTTTCGAAGGAGACTACAAGACTTCGATTAGCTTGATTGGGATCTATAAAAGGTATGTATTCTTGACCATGAATTTTGAATTCATAGGGTTTAGTTTGTGTTTTCATAAGTATGTTGCTATTAGATGTGAAAAATACATAGTTCCTTTAGGTTGCATGTACCCTTAAGTGTTATGTGAAATTTTGCAAGTACATTGTTATTGTAACCTAGAATTCCCATCAGTGTTATTGTAACACCTAGTTTTTGGATGATTATTTTATTGGGATAACGGGACGTACATGGATCGAGTAAAGGTCTTGTACTTCAAATGAACAGAGTTTATACCATATTGGATGACGGCAATGTTTGGTTGAGTGTTTAAAGCCCTCAAGTTACGCTTTCAAGAAAAGGGTAATAATGGAAAAGTTATATATCGAGATTCTTACATGGATTATGGTTTTAGTTCGACATGTTTTAAGCTAAAGATAACTAGATAGGATTGTAGGGCTCGTCAATACCTTTTCGTGCATATAAAGAACACCAAAAACGAAGTTGAAACGAAGAATTTATGTCTGTTTGAAGTTGAATTGGAAGTTTGGGGTTTTGTCCTACGAAGGGCGTAGACAAGCTACGTTGGGCATAAATGCTAAATTATGGGCGCGGGTTTAATGGCCTACGCATGGCGTAGGTCATGCTACGCACGGCGTAGCCGCTGCAGATCAAAACCCTAATTCTAAGGTTGTGAGCCCTATTTAAGGGCTCTAACTTCTTGGGAACCTTCTCATGATCAGCCTCCATCACCTCATATCATTCCTTGAGAAACCCTAGCATCCTTTTACTTGTTTTGAGCCTTGGCACCTTTTATGAGCTTATTTATCCATTGGAGGGTTGAATCTTGAAGAACAAGGTGTTTGCAAAAGTGAATAGAAGAATGATTCAAGTATAGATCCAACAAGGTTGCTTCATTCCTAGACTATTGTGGGTGAAAAGCTTCCATCTTGCTTATTGGTTTCATATATCTTGATAATTATCATATTTGTTACTTTTCGGTCCCTTGAGCTGGTGTTTTGGGAGTTGAGGCAACTCCAACACCTTCTGAGCTATATGAAACACTCTTAGGACTTGTTGGACTTGGAAAGTTGTGCTTTGGTACTTATTCATTAAGCCATGGATGTGGTGTTAGCATTATTGACCATTTTAGTGCATAAAGTTTAGATCTTGCTTGATGAGAGTGTCTTAATGGGTAAAGTTGGAAACTTTATCCATCAAGACATTGTTATGGTCCATATTTGAAAGTTTGAGGGATTGAAATTCTCTATTAAGAGCTGAATGGAATTTTTGGCAATCATGCTGCTACGCGGGGCGTAAATCCTCTTACGCTGAGTGTATCTCAATTTTGGCCCGTCTCTGTCTAGAGCTCTACGCCATGCGTAGATCAGCTTGTACACAGGCAGTAAGAGGGTTGATCGTTGACTTTTGACCTTTAACCATTGACTTTGGGCATGGGTTGACTTTTGGTCAAATTTAAGGGTTTTGGAGTGTAGACTGAGAGGGTACTCTTTACTGATGTTAGGTGCCATGTAGGATCAGTCTTTGTTGGATGAGAGTTGTGGTGTTTTGCTGCTACTGGCGATGTGAGTCTTCTTACTATACTTGCTTGTGTGGTAGTATATACTTGTTGACCATCTGAGTCTTATGTTGTTGATCGTTGTTATATGTGAATCAAGTTGCTGATAACTTCCAGACTGTTGTGAGTCTATGGGACTGCTAATAGTTTCTAGGGTTGCTGATAACCCGTGAGGCGTGTTGTTAATCCACAGGACGTGCTGTTAGCCCACTGGGACCGCTGATAGTCCCTAGGGTTGCTGGTAACCCGTAGCTGGTTGTTATGTTGTGCTCTAGGCGATATTTGGGGAACTCACTAACTTTTTTGCTTACAGTTGTGGATTAAATATTTTGCAGGTACTTATCGGATTACGAAGACGGGACTGTACACACACATCAACAGATTTATGATTTGAGATTCCATATTGTTTTATTATTAATTATGATTTTGGAATAATAGTTTATGAACAAATAGTTTATCCTGAATGTAACTTCACTAAAAATGGATGTTATATTATTTTAAAAATGAAAAGTCTAGCTTGGGTTTTTGAGATTTTACAAGTTGGTATCAGAGTCTTGATTTAAAGGATTTGAATGAACACTCACGAGATTTCAAACTCAAACTATGAAACTGAGGGTTTTACTAAACATTTTTGGAAAGGATTCATTTCAAGAGAAGATGTGATGTGTCAAAATGTTATTTGAAGGTGTCAAAGTAAATTAGATTGAAAAAACCAATCTTTTAATTATTATTTTTTTTGTTGTGGAGCGGCGGCCCCTACTGCACCATTGTAAGTCCGCCCCTCTCATATAAAACGCATACTGCTGAAAACAATTTTTTTTACAAATATCTTTAAGTTCTTCTCTTGAGTTATTTATTTTTGAAAGAAAATAAAATGTTTTTTTTTAGTTAAAATATTACAAGGTACAAAACTCGAGTCATCAAATGGACCTGTTATTGAGTTATTTATTTTTGAATGAAAATAAAATGATTTTTTTAGTTAAAATATTATAAGGTACAAAACTCGAGTCATCAAATGGACCTGTTATTTCGAATGAAAATGGCCTTTAACATAAACCCATAAATCAATCCGGCCCATGAAGAAATACATTATAACCCTAACACAATACCACTCAGCCAAACCCTTGAAGCAGCAGTCGCCGTCGGGGGAGGGAGGAGCAGAGCAAACGCCGTATTGACGTCGAGCAACAATGGTGCACGTCTCCTTCTACCGCAACTGTAAGTCTTATTGTTTCATCGATCAATCGATCTCTTTCGTATTCATTTCTCACTTGTTCAAATCCGATCTCGCAAGTGTATACTACTTATCTTTTGTTCTTCACGTTGATTATATACATTGATCCAAAAATCCCTGTACTTTTCAGATTCTGATTTTGAACAACTAATTGTAGTACATGTTTTGCCTTGGAACATCTAATTCACATACATAAATGTAAAATTAAATTGCAAACAACGAGACAGATGTTATCGTTGAATGAATTTTGCTAACATGATTTCGTTACTCATTTATATGAGATCATGACCTCTATGAGTTTAGCGATGCATATAATTAACATATTGTTTATCCTGTTTTAGTTTGTATTCTATCTGTAAAAACCTAACTGGATACCGGAACCTCTTACAGATGGAAAAACTTTCAAGAAGCCTCGTCGTCCCTACGAAAAGGAACGACTAGACGCAGAGCTGAAATTGGTCGGAGAATACGGTCTCCGATGCAAAAGAGAGCTCTGGAGGGTGCAATATGCACTCAGCAGAATCCGTAATGCTGCAAGAATGCTTCTAACTCTCGAGGAGAAAGATCCACGAAGAATCTTCGAAGGTGAAGCTCTCATGAGGAGGATGAACAGGTATGGTTTGCTGGATGAGAGCCAAAACAAGCTCGATTACGTTCTTGCCCTCACTGTTGAAAACTTCCTTGAACGTCGTCTCCAAACACTCGTCTTCAAAACTGGAATGGCCAAAAGCATACATCATGCTAGAGTCCTCATCAAACAAAGGCACATCAGGTAACAACTTCGACCTCACTCTACTCTTCAATGGCTTCCAAACATCTTCTCTGAGTTCATTTTCTTGATTTTTTCTGAATCACCAGAGTTGGAAGGCAAGTTGTGAATGTTCCATCGTTCATGGTGAGGGTGGATTCACAGAAGCACATTGATTTCTCACTCACGAGTCCATTTGGAGGTGGGAGACCTGGTAGAGTTAAGCGAAAGAACCAGAAAGCAGCTGCAAAGAAGGCTTCAGGTGGTGATGCTGATGAAGATGATGAAGAATGAGCATTTGAGTAGTTCTTGTGTTTGATCTTATTTGCCACCATGAGGTTTACAAGTGAGTGTTTTGTTCTTTGTTTACTTTAGACTTTTTCTTAGTGGATTATTGGTGGTTTTTAAGAAGTTATTGTTTGTTGATTTTCTGTTGAAGATTTTGTAATGGAATTTATGGGGTTTTAGAGTTATCTAAATTCTTATGTTGAAAATTGTTGGTTATATACAAGTTTCAACTTCTTTTAGGAGTAATAGAAGCATCAAGCAGCTTACACAAATACAACTAAATACATAAAAAATACAATCTACTTTTTACTTAATTTGATTTTTATCCTAAGATTTTAGTTTCTAAAGATTTTTTGTATTTGAAATAGGTCCAAAAACCAAATTCAATGTCTCAACATTCTTATAAATCATGTCGTGGATAAATGTAAATTCTTCAAAATTCTTATAAATCTATGTTTGTGTTTACGATGCTAAAACTTAACTACAAAGTATAATAAACCTTATGAATGTCATTCAATCCCACTTAATGAATTTAATGTTGACATAATCTCAATTTGATATAAGAACTCTGTTTAAAACATCATAAATCTACTTTTTAGCTATTTAGAGGTTTTAATAAGATTTGGACTTTGCAACATTAATCTTGCACCTAAAGATAACATTTAGCTATTCGTTGTTCAAAATCAAATTTGAAAAAGGAATGATTTCATGAAGTTACCATTGCAATTGGCAGAAAAAACTTCTTTAACTTTCAAGAAAGGGATAATGACTTAAAAAGGTAACGAAGTTTAAAAAATGTACAAAAAAGATTATTATCTTTTTTTTTAGTACATAAAATATTATTTTACCGGTTATTGTAGGTTATTCGGTTTTCAAATGTTTAAAAAATATTATTGTTGTTTTTTTAGTACAAAAAATATCATTAATGTTACTTTTTTTTTATACAGAATACCAACGAAGTACACATGTGTTCAAATAAAACATTGTGGTAATCAGGTATTTCAAGTAAATGAAAAAATGACTTAAAAGTGTAACAAAGTTTCCAAAATGTTAAAAAAAAATACCACATTTTTTTGTTAACTGCGTTGTTGTCGGATTATGTAGAACACAATCACCGGAAATCATGAACCGTCATATCAGTGTTTTTTTTTTTGAACCGACAAATACAAATATTATAATCTATTCCTAATCTAACATCTAATTTCACCTATGTCCACCACGAGACTTGAACCCTCAACCTCAAGGAGGGAAGACACCACCTGTTACCGCTGGGTCCTTTGAACCCTCGACCTCAGTTCACAACAAAGTTAACTAGATTTTAGACTTATGTTTGAAAAAAAACTTCTTAACTTTCTAAAAAGTTAATACGGACACCATTTAACTTTTCTGACCCAATAACATTTACTTTAACCCTATAAAGTTAATATCTCAACCATTTAAGGGGCTGTTTGGCAGAATCTGAATTTTTAAGAGGTTTGAATTTCTAAGAGGGTCTGAATTTTTAAGATCTGAATTTTTATCATGCTGTTTGGTTGGAACCTTTGAATTGTTGTCTGAATTATAAAAATGACCATTTTACCTTTTTGTATTATTTTTTCTGTAAAAATGATTTTGTTTAGAATATAACTGGACAAACTTCTTGGATATATATATATATAGATATATATATACATATATATATATATATATATATATATATATATATAGATATATATATATATATATATATACCATACAAAATCCAAACTAAACAAAAATCAAAATCAAACATAAATATTTGACAAATCTAATCCAATTAGCAATCAAAGTTGCTTTGTTTTGGATGACATTGCTTTAAGTAAATAGATTTTTCAAAATACAATGGTCTAATAGGAAGTGGTGAAAGTTTGACTCTATAATAAAGAAATCAATAAAAATACATTGCTATTTCTTACATATCATGACAAGTACAAACACATTCTTGAAAGAAAAACCCTTAATAGTTATTCCAAATCAATGATATAAGGTTCACCAAATGAATGTTCAAACTTTAAGCTCATTAACTAATTCACTTCATCAACAAAATTCATCTAGAAGCTCAATGAAAACATCCCTACAAAACAACAAAAAAACAAAACCCATAACCTCTACTCAATTCTTTTAATAACCACACAAGCATCATTCATTCCAACATCAAAAAATACACATATCATTTCGGTATTTCAAACACTCCAAGCATTCCAAACATCACTGCATCAGATTCCAACATCAAGAAATACACATAATTTCAGCATCTAGATGGTCATCTGATTTAAAAAAAAATCAAAATAACTCTGATGGTCATCATATTTCAAATCTTCACGCATTAGAAATAGTTGTACACAATATATTAAGCAGACAATATCTTTCTGAAATATGAAAGGGTTAATTATTTGCCTCTTAATTTCTCAATTAAAAGGCTACCAAACAGCCTCTAAGTCTAAAATCTAGTTAACTTTGCTAACCCAATAACTTTTGAGAAAATTACAAATATAACCAAAACCGTTAATTATTTTGTTGAAAATAGCCAAAAAAAATCTCAATTGCAAAAATAGCCTGTAAAATCGCAGATGGACTAAGTCCATCTGCGATTTGACAAAGCCAACTGCGAACGTACAAGTCGCTAAAGTACATACATGCTTTAGCGACTTGTACGTTCGCAGATGGACTAGTCCATCTGCTATTTCACATTCCATCTACGATTTCACCTTTTTCGCAGCTATAAAAACGTAATTTTTTTTGTTTGTTTCATTTTTCACACTTTTTGTTGGAGAACACACTCTCTCTGAAAGCACTATGGACAATTTGACAAAGCAAATATTCATTCATTTTATTAAAAAGGTTTTAAAAAAATTTCCAAAGAAATAACAACAAAAGTGAATTTTTTTCACGAATCTATATATAATATGGTTGTTTCCTAGTCAAACCTTATCAATTTCGTAGTCAAAAGTTAAAAAAAAAAGGAAAAAGAAAAACGAAATCGCTGATGAACTTAGTTCATCTGCGATTTTAGTCACTTGTACCCCCTATTTATACAAAAAAAAATCATCTGCGAACGTACAAGTAGGGGTGTTCGCGGTGCGGTTTAGAGTAGAAACCGCAAACCGCACCGCATATGCGGTTTACGATTTTTCCAAACCACAAACCGCATCGCGGAAGCCGTAAACCGCAGTATGCGGTGCGGTTTGGCACATGCCGTTTTGTGGTTTATGTGCGGTTTGACAAGATACTTAACCTTATTATTTTTATTGGTATCATTCAATTTTAGATTCGGTAATATTTGAATACGTAATATATATATATATATATATATATATATATATATATATATATATATATATATATATATATATATATATATATATATATATATATATATATATATATATATATATGTCATTATGTTTGCCAATTTATGCGTTGCTTTCCGATACATATATTTTTGACATTCCTGTTTTTGTTGTTTTGATATAACGACCAACATTAAGAAAAAATAATATACTAGTAGAACACAACTCCAAATTTATTAAACGATATCTCTGCAATCGGATTAAACAATTGATGTAATGATAATTTAAAAATGATAAATTAAAGAACATGTTACAAGAATCAATTAGCATAGTTAGAAGTTATAAAATATGCATCACTGTGTTATATCATATTTATGGCTGGACATTTGATTTGTAAAATATGTATAATAGTTTTTATATGGTAAATATTAGTACTGTAATCAAATTATATATATATATATATATATCTATATATATTATATATATATATATATATATATGCGGTGCGGTGCGTTTTGAACCACAGTTTTGTAACTACAAACCGCAAACCACACCACATAGTGCGGTTTACAAATATTACAAACTGCAGACCGCACCGCAAAAGTCCAAAACCGTATTATGCGGTGTGGTGCGGGCGGTTTATGCGGGTTGTGCGGTTTCTTGCACACCTCTACGTACAAGTCGCTAAAACACAGATGTGCTTTAGCGACTTGTACGTTCGCAGATGGCTTGGTAAAATCGCAGATGGGTTTAATCCATCTGCGATTTTGATGACTATTTTTATAATTTGAGTTTTTTTTTGTTATTTTCTACAAAGTAATTAAACATTTTGGTTACATTTGTAATTTTCTCATAACTTTTACTTTAACCCTAGGAGGTTAATATCTTAAACACAATACCTTATTTTTTTTAGAACAAATTACTAAAACATGCTTATGGTTTAGTCAAAATTACGCGTTTGGTTCCTAACTTTTTTTTGCACGTGGACCATCTCTAAGATATGATTTTATTGTGTTTTCGTCCCTACCAGATATAAAAAGGCAATGTTCCCCTCTATTTTTTTTCCAATCTTTTATATTAATTATTTAATATTTTAAACTTGAAAAAAGTAAATGTAGATTATAAATAAAATCTAGGTCCACCCTCATCCCTTTGTCTCTCACATCTTCAACCCTAAAATTCATCAACGACCACCAGCACAATGAACTTTACTAGAATCCTGACCAGCACCTCCTCCTTTATCAGCTCTGACGACCACAGAAATCAGCGGACCATAGAACTCTGGCGAACACATAACTCCTGCATATTTTCTCCCTCTTGTTCCTCTATTGGACCGCCAACAAGCACATAAAATCACCCAAAAGCCTTCCATTTCTAGAATCACCAACTACCACCGACACCACCATAAAATCACCCACCCAGAAAACTTGCATCCAAAAAAAGACATGCAATAACCCTTTCTCTTGTTCATCTCCCATGTTGATGGTGTTTCTAGAAGTTTTCTTTCAAAGCTCTAAAACAAAAACTGTTGATGACTGTGTTAGGAAATCAGGAATCAGGGAGCGGTTTAAGGATACCAAGAGATTTGACTTCATTTCCCCTGACCTGAGGATGGCGACAAAGATCTGTTTGCTCTTCAATCATCGATTATGGTCGAAGATCTGTTGAGAATGTTGTCGAAAGTGGATCTGACGGACGTACCAAGGTCTCTGACGTAATTGTTCCTTATGAGGAGCGGAGGAGTCGGGGTTGGCCTTAGTGGTCGTAGTTGATTGTGCATATGCGAGGGTGACAATAGATTTCAGGGGTGTTTGGCTTGTCATATAAAATTTTTTTTTTGGAGAAGATAAAAGATAAAAGATGTTTGGTAAAAACGTTTTAAAAGCTATTTTTGGATTTTAAATATAAAGAAAAC